CATTATTGATGAAGCATCTTCAGGGGGAATTTTTATTGAAAACCTGTTCATCAGCTGAAATTATTCGTTTAATGAGGTTTCTTTGTGAATGAGTCTCGCAAATTTTGAGTAATGGAAAGAGCTCGAATGAAATTGTTGAGGAGTAATTATCATCCAGATGAAATTCAGTGAATATATTCGACGCAACCAACCTGACGGCACTACTCACCATTCACGCACATGACAGTCAACTGGCTGCAATCCGGTTCAGTGCTGATGCAAAGAAACTGGCAACTGCCTCTACGAAAGGGACAGTCATTCGAGTTTTCGCAATACCCACCGGCGAGCGTTTGTTCGAATTCACGAGAGGTCTGAAAAGGTTTGTCAACAATTGCTGCGTTTGTGACACCCTTCAACAATTGCTATTCATTATGAGCTCACATTTGGAAATATCTTTCTTTCTGTCGTTGTTCCATATATCGCTTTCCTCATCTCCGAGCATCATCATCCTTCCAATGAATCCAGTGCCATCACGTAGCAGAAGAAATCGATCATCATTTTTGAGCGATTCGTATTTTTTTGAATGTTCTTTTCGCGATTGTTCTATCACAAGCTCATTGTCAGTATCAGTATCTAGATTGCAATCGCTAATTATCACATCAACGTAATTCAGTTTTGTGAAAGTGGATGAAACGTTGACAAACTTAGGTGCTTATTCAGAAGACGCGTTGAGTCAATCTGCGGAAAATTTGTTGAAGGTTGTAACTGTTGAGAAATGAATCGATTGTAAATTATTGCAGATGTGTTGCGATTCATTCGCTGGCGTTCAGTAAGGATTCATTGTACTTGTGCTCGACAAGTAACACCGAAACAGTGCATGTTTATAAATTGGAAAAGTCTGACAATCAATCTCAACAGAGGTGCGTTCGATTCGGTGGCTGGGATATTCAATTCACTTTTATTTTTTCGGTTTTTTTTCGTCGAATAAGTCAAAATTTCTGGCTGAATTTTGCGAAACCTGTTTCTTCTGAATGTATGTCTTCTCAAACAGTTAACGATTCTTATGAAGAAGGATAGTTTTTGAGTCGTAACGTTTTCATTTATTTTGT